CCCCCATATGCCCCTTCCCTCCCCACAGACTTACCAACCAGACACTGCCCTCCAAGCTGCCAGGCTGCATACCAGCAATCGGATCTGTATTGGCCGATACAGCTGGTTAATGGCTGGCCATCAGTATCAGCCAAAAAAGTCTTTATTGGTGCACCCCTACTATTCAAAATGCTTATCTTCCAAAGATTCTTTCATGAAGGGACCATGTATATTTATTTAAAGGGATGGATTTTTGGAGTCTATACTCCTTTTATGTAACATCACCACACTCTGAGTAGCTGCACTAAAGTTAGGACTACCTGAAGAATACAGCACTGGATTATTAGACTTGTGGACACTGAACTAGATTTATAACCAATGGATTACGCCCATTACTTGAAAAGGCCACCTCTAGAACCGCTCTGAATCCTAACTTCAGCTACAAATGTGTAGTACCATATATAGCCAGGTACATGTTATGGTTTTGTATCCACTCAAACAGTTTAAGTCCTCTTGATAATCACATAGCAAGAAGAAATGGTACCTTTGGCCAGAGGTTGGCAACCTTTTAAGGCTGGAGGACAGAATGACCCAGTTTGGGTCAGAGAAGAGCAGGCACTAGGATCTAGCCACCTATTTTCCCCAGTGGCATGGGGGAGAGCACCTGCAGCCAGCACTTCTTCCCAGAGCAACACAGGAAAGCAACTGCTGTCCCCTGCCACTGAAGGCCCACATCTGCAGACTGAATCAAATTGCTCTGTGGGCTATAGGTTGCCCGCCCCTGCCTTAAGCAGTATATCAGACACTCCCCTCAAAGCAACAGGCAATGAAGTATTAAGTATTAAAATGTAGGATCAAGAAAGTATTCAACCTTTTGAACTATCATCAGAGAATGGAAGACTTGGATAAAGACATGAAAGAAAGACTGCTTCTTTTCACCATCTATAACAGAGCCATCCTCAATGAAGAATGAGCCTTTCACTTCAGCACGGACTAGGCCAAATGTGAAATTAGTTACTTATTGTTTTAAGTGACCAGAACTGAGTATGGGTAATATAGAGAAGTAAAAACCAATATATAGTGAATAAGCAAATCAATAAAAAACTATTAAAGGAACATTGATTTACTGTTTCACCTTTAACTTAAGCAATAAAATAAAGATGAAATATTTACTCTGTTCTATTTAGTTTAAAGACAAATTGTACGTCCTTCTATAAATTAACTTTAAGTTCCTTTGTTGCTAATCTATTCTGTTTCTTGTAAAATCTATTTGTGGGAATATTTAATCAGGTTTTATTACAAACCAGATATGCTGGTGGTATGCTGTTAATAACAATGATTGAATAAGTGGGATTTATATAGCGTTCATGAACTACACAAAATCTTTACTTTCCCTATCAATAATATGCTAATTGCATGGGATGGACTACAGCAGCCACGTAGAATGCTCGTCAACTTTATTCTACAGAACAAGGCACCTTGTGGACAGATAACATACATTTAGGAAAGAAAAAAACCAAAATTTAACAACTGAACATTATGCCAAGACACCAAGAATATGAAAAATATAGATATGCTAAAAATCCCATATCTTGTCAGGAGTTTGCAACTAGCAGCTTTAAAAATGACCATAAGCCATTTTAACTCAGTTTTACACAGTAGCAGCAGTAACTCACAGATGGCAAGATTAACTTAATATAGTTTCAAAAATTTAAAGATAACTTGGAAATGGAATCAGATCAAGTAGATGAAATAAGCAAGTCCTTCAATTATAAACAAGAAGTATGCAAATTGAAAGGCACTTTTTATTTGGTGCACAAGGGCCCCATAATCTTCTGTAATTAGCGATTTATCACCACTCTGGCTTGGCCATAATGCTCACCTTCTCAACCTCCTGTAGACAATCCAGAAGGGCCACTGTGTGCTCAGAGTCACTTTGGTCATTTTCACAACCGCTTGCTGTCATTTTCAGGGGATTTTTCACCATGGCATCTAACACTGCTTCATAGAGCTGCTTGGTTATCAAGGGAGAGGGCAGCTCTCTTAGATAATCCTTGAGCACACCTTCAGAAAAGATGCAAAAATAGCTGCATTAGCAAGATGGACTCTCACATTTCAGAATCCCTTGGAAACAGTAAGGCACATAACCCACATGTCTCACAAGACAGTTCTCTGGGCATATGTTCAACATCTTACATTTGTACGCTAAAACAAAAAGCAGCAGCAAGATAAAAAGTATACAATAAAATATCTGTTAAGGGCTTCAAATGCTGGGCTTATCAGCACTTTTTAAAACAGCATCTTGGTACCTCATAATATATTATATTGGTTCTTGCAACTTAGAATCTTAGAAAATTAGAGTTGGAAGAGGCCTCACAAGCTAGTCTTATCCAACCCCTTGCTCAAAGCAGGACCACCCCCAACTAGATCATCCCAGCCAAAGCTTTGTCCAGCCAGGTCTTAAAAACCTCCAAGGATGGAGTCTACAACCCCTCTGGATAACCTGTTCCAGCATTTTACTACCCCCCAATGAGAAAATTCTTCCTAATATCCAATCCCAGCTTTCCTTGCTACAACTTGAGACTGCTGCTCCTTGTTCCATCATCTGCCACCACTGAGAACAGTCTAGCTCCATCCTCTTTTGAATTCCCCTTCAGGTAGCTGAAGGCTGTTATTAAATCTCCTCTCAATCTTCTCTTCTGCAGACTAAATAAGCCCAGTTCCCTCACCCTCTCTTCATAAGTCATATGCTGCAGCCCCCTCATCATTTTCACTGCCCTCCACTGGACTCTCTCCAATTTGTTTGCATCCTTTCTGTAGTGGGGGGCCCAAAATTGAACACAGTACTCTAGATGTGGCATCAGTGCTGAATAGAGGGGAACTTGTTCCAAGATGTTGATGGGACCACCTCATAAGCACCAGACTAACTGCAAATCCTTTCCAAATCCTTCTTTTTGCATTATATTCAGCATATGAGCTATCACATAAATGTGTATGGTATAAAAGCAGAGTATCAGCAAAGGTGAAGATAGAAATCTACAAGACTTGTGTGCTGTCATCCCTGCTTTATGGTTCAGGACCGTTGACATGCTAGGCATATCAAGGGACTGAACAGCTTCCACATGAGATGTCTGCATAAGATCTTGAAAATAAAGTGGGAAGACAGAATACCAAATAGAAGTACTGGAGCGCACAGAACTGACACACTTAGAAATCATTATCAAGAAGAAAAGGTTGGGATGGATCAGCCATATCAGGAGAGCGAGAGAAGACTGTATGCCCAAGCATATTTTGTATAGAGAGATTCAAGATGGCTCTAGAAAGCAGGGTCACCCTTTATGGAGGTACCACAATGTGCAAAAATTATATGAAGTTGTTCAACATCAATGTAGAAAGCTGAGAGGACCATGCAGAATCCCATCCAATCTGGAGGGAACATCTGGCACTGAGTGCAGCCCAATACATAGTGGCTGTGATCCAGAGGATGGAAGCACATAAGCCCCCATGGCTCACCAAAAGCATCCGGGAATGTCTCCTAGCAAAAAGGGAGGCATACACCCAATGGAAAGGAGGGGCCATCACCAGGGATGACAATACTGCAGTTGCTCGGGGATGTAGGGGGGCAGTCAGGAAGGCCAAGGCAGAGATGGAACTTGGACTAGCCTCCCGGATTAAGGACAACAAGAAGTCCTTTTTTAAATACATAGGGGGTAAGAAGAAGGTTCCAGGTAATGTGGGGCCCCCGCAGGACACGCTAGGAAATGTGGTCATCACACCAGATGACAAAGCTAACATATTTAACGATTTCTTTGCCTCCATTTTCCTAAGCAGGGACCAGAACAGTCACCCCCCCGCTGGGTCCCCCTCAGGCCCCATGGGAGGCACACCTAGGCCAAGGGTTAGTGAGGAACTAGTTAGGGAACTTCTGGAGGGACTGGATGTATTCAAGTCAGCTGATCTGGACGATCTCCACCCTAGAGTACTGAGGGAATTGGCTGAGGTCATTGCAGGACCCCTGGCATGGCTTTACGAGCACTCGTGGTGCTCTGGTGTTGTGCCAGAGACTGGAAGAGGGCCAACATGGTTCCCATCTTCAACAAGTGGAAGAAGGAGGACCCGGGAAACTATAGGCCAGTTAGTCTTACCTCGATCCTGGGCAAGCTTTTTGAGAAAATTATTCTGGCGCGTATCCACGACGGGCCAGCAGGGGAGGTCATGCTTAGGGGCAACCAACACGGGTTCATTAGCCGCAGGTCCTGTCAGATCAACCTGGTGGCCTTCTATGATCAGATCACCAAATCCTTAGATGCAGGGGTAGCAGTGGACATAGTCTTCCTGGACTTTCGGAAGGCCTTCGACACTGTCTCTCACCCTGTTCTCATCAAGAAACTGGGGGACTGTGGTGTGGACACCCACACAATCAATTGGGTCGCCAACTGGCTGGAGGGCTGCACCCAGAGAGTCATGGTGGATGGGTCATTTTTGACCTGAAGGGATGTGGGCAGTGGGGTTCTGCAGGGCTCGGTTCTCAGGCCCGCACTGTTCAACATCTTCATCAGTGATTTGGACAAGGGGGTAAAAAGCACCCTGTTCAAATTTGCTGATAACACTAATATGTGGGGGGATGTGGGCATGCTAGAAGGGAGGAATAGGTTGCAATCTGACCTAGACAGGTTACAGGGGTGGG